TACAATCGACGAGCTGTGGCGATCCTGGTTACCACAAAATATGTCTGTACGGACAATCGTCCTCATCCCAAAATGCCAAAATTGGTGCCTCCTCCACTCGAGATTCATCTCAGCACATGGAAGCGCCTTTTGCCGCCCAGAGAATACGTCCGATGCGCAGGTAGCCAGCTGAAGGGAAGTGCAATCTAGCCTGCAGGTTTTTTCAGAGCTGTTCTACATGTGAACTGGTTTGGCTCCAATATTTGATTTTGAAATACAATATCACATGCAAAACATCCTCAATCTTAACTAAATGACCCCATTTTCTCAATAGTAAATGAGAGTGAATCACCATCTCATCATCCCGACTTTTGAACAATTGCTATTTGTCAAGGGCTAGAAGGAACCTCAAAAGTAGTACACTGGGATATTTGTCAAGGGCTAGAACGAATATTGGGCAGGGTGCCTTACTTTGTATTATTTCACTGTCAGGTGGTTTGTGGGGCCGAAGACCTGCGCAACCCCAGAAGGAGGAAACTCGAAACTGTTGAACTAGTGATACAAGTTGCACTCACTTGATTTTGTACACAAGGGTGTCTGGATGTATACGCAATATATGTGCTTTTAACTTGGCATTCTTTTAGACACATCTCATTAACCAAGCTTGAGTTTCCAGGTACATTGCCTCATTAACCTAAGGTTACTACGCGGACGTTAAAGGCCCGCAATTAACCGCGCGCAAAATCTTGAAATTGGTTCAAAATGTGACAGGCCATGCAAAACAAATTCCTGAGGGTAAACCAACCCTCACCGGTAGCCTCCCCTCAACATGGAAGACTGTTACGATAAGGAATTTGGTAAAGCATTCATGTAAGTAACAGCGATAACAACACTAGTGATATCGAAGACCAAGAGTCGTAATGAATTGAAACGACAAAGACAGTTGTCATACCGACACCAATGCATCAAAATGGAATTGGCGGGAAGCGGTTTGAAACGGGATCCTGTGCCGCACGGTTCAATTTCGATGCAATAGGGGAATTAGAACCTACAGCAAGGAGACTTACCTCACCATCGACCCCAACAAGGAACTGAGTGTTAAAGAAGAAGAAGAATTGGCACGATGCGAAGCTGCAGAACTCTGCCGGCAAAGCGAAACCCAACACTGCAGATGGCGTTGGGAGAAATTCAACGAATGGGGGTGGGGGGCCTCCACTGAAGGAGGATGGAGTACGGACAATGGCCGAACATGGGCCACAGCTGGGGGGAATCGGGGAACAAAATGTTACGATATAAAATTGTTGAATAAACATTCCTAAGAGTAACGAATCCTTAACGCGACGATGACTGCAGCGAGGACGAAGACCGGGCGTCAAGACAGTTATCGAAGACAGTTACAAGCAGGAAGAATTCAAAGCGCAAAGCGCGGAAAAACTTCAAACGGTTACCGAACCGCGTACGTTTACCGAACCGCACGGTTGCAATCCTGCATCTAGATTAGCCCTAAGGGGAATGTACCCCCTCAGAGTACATGGCTAGCTAGGACCTTTCGTATTCCTGCTGTATCCCTATATAAACCCTTGTACAGCATCATTATATTTACTTCTGTCGAGATTCAAATCTCCTTCTACTGACAGGTTCCATACCCGACATACACTAGCAATCTTCCGTTGCTACAACACTCGCGATCAACCTGAGATGATCCTACACCTTCAATTCAGATTGTAACATGGTATGAGAGCTACTCAGGATTGTTCGCATCACCACCACTGATTCAAATTTGAATCCAAGGTGGCGTCCAATTTCAACCCTAAACCCAGGTCGTCAGATTCTTCTAGGCTCCGTCACTTCCAAGTCCATTCGTTCTGTAGTGATGGACCGCACTTTTTGGGATCATGTTAAAGATTGTTTTCGACGTGAATCAGGGCGTGTCCAGCTCGTTCATTTCGGGAAATTTAGCTCCTCCTCACGATCCGGGGTTCAAAACTGATCACTTACCTATAAACGAATACGACCTGCGTCGAGTCCACCCTTTTTGTCAATTCGAGCGCGCGGACACATTCCCCCCACACAGACTTCAGCAGTGCAGGGGCCGTGTGGAAACGAGGTAACCGGTTCCCTCGTCAACCAAAGCGTTGGAATTTTCGCCAAGCCAACACTTCCACTACTGGTTTTGGCGAGTGTCAGGCTGCAGTGGCGAAATCGAGCGCGCGATACGATGGCCACGGACTGTTGTGGGCAGGACGCGGTTCTGTACCATTGTTCGATGCGCACGCTGATTTCTGTAACTTGCGTCACACGATTCCAGGTACGTGCAGGGGGTGTGCCGTATCGTGAACGGGAGCTGATCGTGTCTGGCATTTTTGTAAAATTCAGTGTTACAACGCAAAATCTGGTAACTGAAGGGCTTTACGAACAGTAAATGAACGAGCTGGACAGCCCCTCATGTTTCCATAGCCAGAATTTGGATGCCATGGATCGTGGTTCAGGTGCCCCTCCAGAATCTGAGGTTGACGTGGATCTGACTGGAGCCGTAACCACCGCGGCAGCGCCAGCAGCAACCAAGCAAAATGCCAAATGTACAAAACCGAAACCCAACGTCTGTGAGGAAAGGCGGTGAAGTGTACAGTAACGAGACGCAACAAATCCGAGCAAATGGACAAAGGCGTTCATCCCTGGCAGCTTTTAGAGGCAGGAATTTAAAATTTCGACCCCAACAGTCCCTAGTTTCACCTTCCTCCAGCATTTTTGTTTGGGAAAGTATATCCCAGGTCCTGACTTTCAGATTTCTCTCATATTTAGCCCTAGGTTTACTCAGAAAGCACCACTTTCTAGAATTTCTCTCACGCGAGGCCCAAAGTATGTTAAAAATTTTCGCCCCCCCCGGCATGCGATGTCTACATGTTTTATTCTGGGACTTTTGGGTGAACCCTGATTCGTGGAATGCTAGACGGGACAGCAAAGCACAAGGCGGCTCCTCTCATCACATGTCATCTCATCTCTCTCGAGGTGCCAGCGATGTGTCATCATGATGAAAGCAGCTTCTACGCATGCTTCCTCTCGTCACCATCCCCTTTCCTTTCCTCCTCACACCGCACGCTCGAAGTCCAAGAGCCATTTCTTTCATTTGTTTTTTGACATGAAATTCGTTCTAGCTTCCCTCCTTCCCCCTTCAATCTGCTCTAGCATCACTTTCTAGATCCCGCAGTGAAGTCTGTTTAGCTTCTGTTGCGTCGCTAGAGGGATAACATATAAGCCAATGATGTCCTCGGTGTCGCCTGTTGCATGGCGAAGCGCGGAGGGTTTAGGACACGACAAACGACTACCGTCACCGGAAGGCCCGCGGGAACTCGGCCATTTAAGAGCAGGCTCGTTAGAAGACGAGTCTCGCGTTGTCCCCGTCGTGCGTTCGTCGAATTCAACCGCATCGCATGTAGTAGGGAGACATTCAGGACCACAAAGCACGGCCGGAATCGGCGGAGGTTCGTCGGAAAACCAGGAATCACCGAACAGCGCTTTGTCGCCGATAAAGAGTAGTGGCAGTGCAAGCGGTGGTGCTTTGCGTCAGAAGGGCGGCGATGCGCATCACTCGGGGGAAAAACCGGTAGATATTCGGAAACGCGGTGACGCCTTCGACGATTCGCAGCTATTTCCCTCCGCAGGAGCTTCTCCCTCGGTACGCCGCCGTTTCTACTCTGTTTGTTTGTATTTTGTTTTTTTTTGTTTGGAAGTATTGTGATTTGGTAGTTGGCCCGTCATTTGATGAAATATCAGGCCGAGGCGGGTTTTATCTAAAGACGCGACCCGATACAATTTATTGCAACACAAATTAGTAAACAGAAGGAGTCTGGACGAAGCAAGCGAGACGCGCCGCACTCACTCTATCATTGTCGCACCCCACGCACCCATCATGCGACTCGTGTCTCTCCCGCTGCGCATGCGTCCACCGTCGCTTTCTTTACCTGACGCGCCATCTCCTCTCCCTCTCTCTCCTCGTCCCGCCCTCTCGCCATCGTTTTCCCTCACTCACGCCGTCATAACACCGTCAGTCGTAATACTTCTGTTCGGTGCCGCTCCCTCTCGCTTCCTCGCCTTCTTCATCTCGCTCGTCGCGTCTCTCTCCTTCACACCCTTCCCCAACGCCAGGCGTGCTTTTCTATTCCTGGTCCCTCCATCATCTCCGTCTTCCTCCCTCTCCCTCTCCCTCTCCCTCTTCCTCGCGCTCGTCCTCTGAGACGTCCCAAATCTCGCTCGTCGCGTCTCTCTCCCTCACACCCTTCCCCAATGCCAGGCGTGCTTTTCTATTCCTGGTCCCTCCATCTCCGTTTTCCTCCCTCTCCCTCTTCCTCGCGCTCGTCTCTCCTCTCACCCTCTAATTCGTCCCTCTCCCTCCTTCGCGCTCTTATAACCACATCACCGCACATTAATCTGACCTCACCGGTCGTCGCTCCTTTTGAGGCTCCCCAATACCCCGTCCCTCGCGCTCTTATAACCACAGCATCAATCTGACTTCACTGGTTTTACAGGCGCCTCAAAAGACTGTCCACTTTTCCCCTCAGTCGTCTCTCTCCTCTCTCCCTCTCTTTCGTCTCTCTCCCTCCCTCGCGTTCTTTTAACCACAGCATCAATCTGACTTCACCGCTCGTTGTTCCTTGGACATTTCATCCACCGACCAATCAAGACCCGCTTACGTGGCGACAGCTGACCTGGCGCCGGCTCCACCCGTCGGCCCAGCAGCGCGCCGAACGTGGGCAGACAACGACGCGTCAGCAGCAGCAGCAGCAGCAGCAGAGCCGCGGGGCCAATCAGCATCATGGGCCAACAACCTGGGATCCAAACCGGACCAGCTTCGGAACCTCTACCCCCACTTCAGCTCCCAGGGAATCCACTTCAGCTCCTCTCACGAATCACAGGACTGGCTGCAGATTCAGGCCGAGCAGCAAAAGAAAGAATCAAAAGAAGCGAAAGAATCAAAATTAGCGAAAGAATCGAAAGTCGCCGCTGGAAGATCGGAGCAGAAAATGAAGGTGATTAGTAGACGCTCTTTTGACGGCGGCAGACCCGCATCAGCCGGGAAAGGGCCCTGGGACTCTCCTGCTGCTGTCGGCAATTCCAAGAGCGTGAGGCTCGGCGATGGGAGGTCCGGTGATGGGAGGTCCGGCGATACGAGGTTAGGCGATGGGAGGTTCGGCAGCAGCAGCGCGGTTCTGCACGAGAGAGGGAGTGAGACGAGCAGGAGAAGGGGAGGGGGGGCGGGCGGGCTGGGTTCCACAGTCCAGAGGAGCAAAACGAGGGACAGCATAACGGAGTATGAACCGGTTCCTGTAGGCATAACAGAGGTCTGGCAAGCGTATGAACCGGCGGGAACAAGCAGAGCAGAGGGCGTGCAAAGGTATGGACTGTCGCCCAAGGGCAGAGCAGAGGGCGGGCACGCGCGTGAAGCGGCTCCCACAGGCAGAGGGAGGAAGCTTCCGGACTATGGCCCACGGCCAATGAGCTCTGGGAGCGGCGGGTTGCAGAGTGTGGCTGGAGAGGTGACTTTTGAGGCACCTCAAAAGCCGATGGGCTCCTGGAGCGGCGGCTTGCAGCGTGTGACCGCTGCAGAAGGAGCAGCAGCAGTAGGAGCAGCAGGAGCAGGAGCAGCAGGAGCAGCAGGAGCACGAGCAGCAGGAGCAACAGCAGGCGCAACAGCAGGAGCAGCAGGAGGAGCAGGAGCAGCAGGAGGAGCAGCAGGCGCAACAGCAGGAGCAGCAGCAGGAGCAGCGGCAGGGCGTGTGAGAGCGGTGGGGGGTGGCAGTGGGTCGCTGATGTCTCTGAAAGACGAGCTAGCGGCTTATGATGAGAGCGACGAGGAGGAGGGCGAGACGCTCATCAGACCTCGCGTGCCCGCTTGTGTAACTGCTCCTCCTGCTCCTGCTGACGCCTCTGCTGCTGTTGCCGCCGCCACAGCCGCCGCCGCCGCTGCTGCTGCTGCTGCTGCGGCTGGAAGCACTGCTGGTGGGGGCAGATCTGGCAGCAGCGGCGGGGGCAGTAGCGACAGCAGCGACGGAAGCGGGGGTAGCAAAGGTAGGAAGGGCAGCAGCAGCAGCACTGGTGGGTCCGGATGCCTCCCTCTGGGCGATTCTCCACGCGGAGGCAACAGCAGCGGGACCGTCACAGGCGGAGGCATTTCACCTCTCCCAACAGCAGGAACCACAGTGGAATGCCGCCAGTTCTCCCCGGACCAGCTCACCCGAGCCACCGACAACTGGGCGGCGGAGAACAGGCTCGGCCGAGGCTCGTTCGGCACGGTGTACAAGGGACGGCTGCTAGGCTGCATGGTGGCAGTCAAACGCCTGGAAGGCGGCGGGTGGCAGGGCAGCGCGGAGTATAGAATGGAGGTGGAGGTGTTGTCTCGGATGCGGCATCCGCATATAGTGCTGCTCATGGGTCACTGCCCTGATGAGATGAGCCTTGTGTATGAGTACTTGCCTGGAGGGAGCTTACAGGACTTTCTTAATGTGATTGCTGCTGGGAACAGCAAGGGTGGTGGTGTGGGAGGTGTGGGTGGTGCGGGTGGTGTGGGTGGTGCGGGTGGTGCGGGTGTTGGGAGTTGGGGAGGGAGCGCCCGGGGCGGCAGGAAACCGTTGACTTGGTTTGACCGGGTGAGAATCTTATCTGAGGTGGCCGGGGCGCTGATGTACCTCCACCAGAATGACCCACCCATCGCGCACCGCGACTTAAAGCCCGACAACATTCTCCTCGACACAAGCCTCGCCTCTAAAGTGGCCGATGTGGGCCTTGCGCGGTTACTCAGTGACGTGGAAAATGTAACCGCGCGGGTGAGAGGCACGGTGGGGTATATAGACCCGGAGGAGCTTGAGACTTGTGAGATTTCGGTTTTATCGGATGTGTATGCGTTTGGGCTGATAGCGCTGCAGCTGCTGCTGGGTGAGCCGAATGTGAAGGAGTTGCATCGGAGGCTGGGGCGGATGCAGGAGTGGATAGGGAAGAGCATGGGTGGGGTAGGGTTGGGAGGAGTGGGCATGCGGGGTGGTGGGTTTCAATCGGTAGAGATGGACAGTACAAGGGTTATGGCTCGGACTGTTGAGGAGATAGTGAGGGAAGTTGATGGTTCGGGGGGGCAGTGGCCCTTGCCTGTGGCTCGGAAGCTGACGGAGCTGGCGCTCCGGTGTGCGATTCGGCAGCGGGAGGCTCGGCCGAACCTGGTGGAGGTGGTGCAGCCGGCGATGGGTGAGGTGATGGAGGAGGCGGAAGTGGAGATGGGGAAGCGGAGAAGGAGCTTCGACGAGCAGTGTATGTGCCCGCTGTCGCAGGTGAGGGTTGCCCCTCGCTTACTATCGTCTAATGAGGGCGTGACAAACCTGGTCGTCCTACGTGAGTGCATGTGTTTGCTGTTGCAGGCGAGGGTTGTTCCCTCTGTAACTTCTTTTGAGTGCGTGGCAGTCCCGGTGGTTGCAGCTTTTGAGACAGCTTCAAATCACCTTTTGTCGTGCTCACCTCTCGTTTACGCTCGGTCCCCATGCACTTGATTCTCCTCTCATTCCCGCTCTTCTTTGAAACAGGCGACGGACCCGGTGGTGGCAGCTGTCTGGTACCAGACAGAAGGTAAATCGCCAACCCATTCCCCCACATTCCGCTGCCTTTCTCATCGTCTCCTGACCTATTCTCCCCCCCCCCCCCCCCGTCCCTCCTCCCCTCTCCCAGAAGCGCATGACAGACCAGGTGGTGGCAGCAGAGGGGTTCACCTACCAGCGCAGCAGCATCGAGCGCTGGCTGCTCGCTTGAGTCAAACTTTAAAGTCTCCTATCTCCCCGTGCGCCCTATCCTTCCCCCGTTCCTCCCCCCCGCTTGCAGAAGTGCATGACAGACCCAGTGGTGGCAGCTGATGGGTTCACGTACGAGCGCAGCAGCATCGAGCGCTGGCTTCTCACCAACTCTGTCTCGCCACGCACCGGCCAGCCCCTCCCCCACAAGCACCTCACACCCAACCACACTCTCAAGCTACTGCTGCACAGCCAGTAGCGCTCGCGTTGCTCTGGATGCGTCTCAAAGTCATAGAGCAGTGGCTGCTTATCCACTCATCGCCACGCACCGGCCAGCCCCTCCCCCACAAGCACCTCACGCCCAACTACACGCTCAAGCTGCTGCTGCATAGCCAGTAGCTGCTAGTAGCACCGTTCACAGCCACTCACAGTGCAGTAGCAGCTGCATTTTTCAGGCGACTCAAGCTGCTCGCGGTGCGGCCGGCGGTTCTGAACTCGAGTTTTGGCAGGAAACTGAAGGCTGGGAAACTGCAGTCACAGGCTCACAGCCCATGATGGTGCAGGCACCGTGGCTCTGTAGGCGCGCTTCCCTCTTCTGATGAAAGTACACCTTCATGATGCTGCAATTGGAGCAAGGCTATGGCTTTTCCAGAGACCATGTAGTCTTGCGGTTACAGGATTAGTAGTGATTAGGGTGTAGGGTACTGGTATATTAGCCAGTGTTTGACTTTCTAGAAAACTCTGCGTTGAGTTTTGTTCTTTTTTTCAATCATGTACCGGTAAGAGTGCGAGATTTGTATGTCTGACCTTGCTTGTAAAATACTAGGTTGGTAAGATGTCACATCGCCAAAGGAGTTGGGTGCAATGCAACCTACCTACACATTCTATTTAGCCTGCAGTTATGGAAAGCAGACTCCTAGGGTGCACCCATTTGGCTCTTTGTGAAAAAAACGATTCTTAATTAGAATGTTCAGTGTTTACCCAGTAAGTGTGGTAATAGCTTGTGACCCATTGCTTTACATCATGTACTGTAAGCTGTCCTTTTGTCACAAATAGTTGATCAACTTTTCCATACACGTCGTTCATCATGTTGACGTATTGAGAACCTCGCGTAGCGAAGCTGATTAAAGTCGGCACAAAATTGTGTCACGTGTCAGCGCCCCCATCGTCTGACGTTGGCAGCTTCCGCCACGTCATTGAATGTTGAATTGATTTCACCCAACGAATGGATCTCGAGGATTCTCCCCCAAAAAAATTCCCACCCCGATTCCGCCTTACCTCAATCAACCTCAGAATTCCTCCCTTCACCAAGAAGCTCCCTCGCCGCGAATTTTACCACGAGCTTGCTTGCGATGCACGCTAAGTTTATTGTTTTTGTATCAGCTGCTAGCCGACAAAGTCCTCTCGCCATGACGTGGATTGAGCTCATCGTACCGTACACCTCGGCAGAATCTGTCCTTTGCACAGCGCCATTTGCGCTAAAAAAAGCCAACGTAAAAGAGATATCTGAATAAGTACTCATTAGCAGTCGGCATTTCCTCAACAACGGACGCTGGAACCTCACGTCCCTGGCTCTGACAACCACCAGCATGTGGTGTCAGCTCCAGCGTCTCCAGCTCCAGCGCCTCCAGCTCCTGGGCCTCCAGCTCCAGCGCCTCCAGCTCCAGCGCCTCCAGCTCTAGGGTCTCCAGCTCCAGTGCCTCCAGCTCCAGCGCCTCCAGCTCCAGGGTCTCCAGCTCCAGCGCCTCCAATACCACCAGCTCCGGCAGCTCCAGTACCTCTAGTACGAGCACCTCCAGGACCAGCAGCTCCAGCACCTCCGGTACCTCCAGCTCCGGTGCCTCCAGCTCCAGCGCCTCCAGCTCCAGCGCCTCCAGCGCCAGGGTCTCCAGCTCCAGCGCCTCCAACACCACCAGCTCCGGCAGCTCCAGTACCTCCAGTACGAGCACCTCCAGGACCAGCAGCTCCAGCACCTCCGGTACCTCCAGCTCCAGCGCCTCCAGCACCAGCAGTAACTCCAGCACCTCCAGGACTAGTAGCTCCAGCGCCTCCAGCTCCAGTGCCTCCAGCGGCGGGGCCTCCAGCTAAAGCAACGCCACTCCTAAGGCGTGTGCACCAAGCAAACCACTCGCGCAGCTGCCGCGGTGAGAGAGGCTCCCGCCGGCGAGACTGCAGTGGCGAGGCAACCGCAGAACATCCGGCAGATACAGTACCCCTAGGCTCAGCACCCCCAGACTCAGTACCCTCTGGCTCAGCACCCCCAGGCTCCGCACTCTCAGACTCAGCAACCCCAGGCTCCGCACCCTCAGGCTCAGCACCCCCAGGCTCCGCACTCTCAGGCTCAGCACCCCCAGACTCTGCACCCTCAGGCTCAGCACCCCCAGGCTCCGCACTCTCAGGCTCAGCACCCTCAGGCTCCGCACCCGCAGGCTCAGCACCCCCAGACGCAGCACCCCTAGCAGCACCACCCCCAGCAGCATCAGAGTCTACACTGACCTCAACAAGCTCAGCCAAGGGGAGTGGGTCTACCTGAGACACACCTGAGGGAGAAGGACCCTGAGGGGGGACGGGGTCTACCGGAGAGGGACCTGTAGCAAGGAAGAGCGGCGGCGGGGGGGGAGAGGGGCAGCGCGGTAGGGGAAGAGACGGTAAAAGGGAACCGACTCGTCAAAGGTGACGTCCTGAGAGGGCAGGACACGGCGCGAGGTGGGGTGGTAAAACTGCCAGCCAGGCGCGTCAGGGGGAAAGCCAAGGAAGACACAGGGAATGGCGCGGGAGGAGAGCTTGTCCACGGAAGTATCGCGGACAAAGGCACGAGAGCCCCAGACCCAGAACACCGACGCATCGCCAACCTCCCCCGTCCAACACAGTGTAGGCGAGGTCTCCGGCAAGGAGACACGGGGCCAGAGGTTGAGCTGATGCGCAGCGTACCGGACTGCAAACGGCCACAGAAAATGGGGAGCAGCCGCATGGATCATGGAGGTACGAGCCACCTCCATGACTAAGCCAATGCGGCGCTCAGCAACCCCATTCTGCTGCGGAGAGGCCGGAAGCGTGAACGACTGGCGGATGCCCTCCCCACGACAAAAGTCCCGTAAGAGGTCGGAGCAGAACTCACCACCTCTGTCAGAGTGCAGACGCAGGACAGGAAGGTCCTGGCGGAACCGCTCGCGGAGCTGGAGACGGACAGCGCGGATCCAAGGGATCAAGACATCAGGGACCTCCCCCTTGCTGCGCAAGGGGAAGACCGTGGTGTAACGCGAGTAGTCGTCAACAACCATCAGAAAGTAGCGCTCGCGGCCCTGTCCACTGACGCGGGCTGGGCCCCACACGTCCATGTGGAGAGTCTGCAAGGGAGCAGTCGTCGGGGGAAACGAGGAGGAGTGAGGAGCGGCGCGCTACCGCCCCTCGACGCAAGGAAGGTAGGGTGGGGCAGGCGAGGGTGGGAGGGGAGGCAGAGACCTGGGAAGACCAGAAACAAGGAGGCGGGAGTGCATGCCACGGAGGCGTGGCAGGGAGGGGTGACAAAGGCGGTGGTGCCAAAAGAGAGTCTGGTGCGACAGGAGGCGACACAAACAGGGAGCGGCTACCTGACCTGACGCGGACACTTGACCAGAAGCAGCTACCTGAGCAGGCTCAGTAGTCAGTGTGTACAGAATCGACCCAGGCCGACAGGTGAACGTGGCCAGGTGACGGCCCGTCCGTGTACACGTGCAGATCGCCACACGCTGACCCCCAGTGGTGGTGGTAGTGACCATCGCATCCTGGAGGGCAGCGGTACTCACCAAGTTCGTAGAGAACGAGGGGAGGTGGAGACCTGACAGTGAGCCAGACGGAACCGCCAAACACGGGAGAACAGTGGTGGAACGTGCAAGAACTGGGCCCCCTGAGGGGTCAGCCAGTCTGACTGCAACAGGTGCAGGGAGTGGTGTGAGTATGGTACTGTCGCAAAAGAAACAGCGGGAAGCACCTGGGTCAAGCGTGAAGGTGTGCAAGGCCTCAGCAGGCACAGTACCAGGGAGAGCAGACTCACTAGCACCTAGAGCAGCAGCCTCTATACCTGGGTCGGGCGGCACACACAGGTAACAGTCACCCTCAGCACTAGCAGTCAAGGCATACATGGCAGCAAGGATAGCATCATAGTCTAAGCATACAAGAGCAAAGATATCAACACCAGACCTAAGCAGCTCTAGCCAGCGGGGGGGCTCAGCCTCGTCGCCAAACTCTGCGCGCCAAGCGTCATCAAGGCGGGAGAAGCAGCGGTGCTGTGTGTGAAACTTCCCGCATGTCTGGCCAGCGCGGTCACCTGTGCGAATGACATACGGGCAGCGAACACTACCCCCAGCCGCCCCACGATGAGCAAACCACTCACGAAGCTGCTGGGGCGTAGGGGTCTCGCTCGAACACTACTGCTGCTGCCTCTGGCCACCGCCAGAGCCTCCCCTCTGAACAGCTCCACCTCGACCGCCACCACTGCCGCCACCACCACTCCCACTGCCACCACCACCGCCACCACCACTCCCACCGCCACCTCCGCCACCTCCACCGCCTCCACCGCCTCCACCACCACCACCCCCGCTGCCACCTCCACCACTCTTGCCTCCCTTGCCCTTGCCGCTGCGGCGCTTCCCACTAGGAGCAGAAGCAGCCCCGACCTCCTCAGTACCAAGGATGTCAACAGCAGAAGCAGAAGCGTAGGAGGGGGCAAGGGGGGAGGGGGAACACCCCTCAAAGAAGGGTGTGCGAGGAGTGCCACGAGCAGCACCTACAGCGACTACGCTAGTCTCAGCTGCAAGGAGGTGCTTCTCGAGCAGGTCGACAGTGAGGTCTGTGGGGTCAAGTGCGAGAAAGTGGTCCCTGACTGTTCGAAGAGAGTCAGGGAGGCGGGTGACTATGAAGTAGAGAGTGATGTACATCGGGGGCGGGTTCTTGTCTAGGAAATCGGCTTTGAGGGCAGCGCGGTAGCGAGTGTCGCTAGTGCGAAGGTGGGTGATGAGGTCCTCGACTGTGGCAAAGGCTGACAACTCGGGAAAAAGGTAAGGCAGTATAAGGCGGCCGAGAGCAGCAGTGGCAGGGGAAGAGGAACGAGCGACTACAGCGTCGTACAGGGCTTTAGCAGTCTTGTGCTGGCCAAAGTGAGCGCGTTCGGCTAACGGCAAGTGGTTGCGAACGGCTAAGCGAGCAGCAGCGTCACGGGTAAGCCACTGTGAGCGAGTCGCACTGTCAGCTGTGTCGGGAGGGGCGAGAGAGGTTCCAGACGTGTGGTCAAACAACGAAACGCTGTCTCTAGAATCGCTCAGTAGGTACAGCTGTAAGTCATCGAGCCACGTATCGAACTGGATCGGACGGCCCTCAGGATCGAACGTGAGAACGCTGAGAGTAGCCATAGCGGGCAGAGCAGGGTGGCACGTGACGAGCAGGGCGGCGCGCGTGCACTAGGAAAACGCTAAGGGCAGGGCAGGGCGGCGCACGGCCAAGACTGGGCGGCGCGTAGGGCAGGGCAGGGCAGCGCGCGGGCAGGGGGGCGGCGCGCGGTCAGGAAATGGTGGCGCGCGGCTAGCAGGACGGCGCGCGGGCAGGAACGGCGGCGCGCGGCGAGTAGGGCGGCGTGCGGGCAGAAAAGGGGTGGCGCGCGGCCAGCAGGGCGGCGCGCGGGCTGCAAAGGGCGGCGCGCGGGCTGCAAAGGGCGGCGCGGCGGGCAGCAGGGCGGCACGCGGGCAGGGCATGTCAGAATGAGAGAAGTGTTTGAACTAACAAGGTTGGGAGTACAAGTAGGAAAACCTAGAAGTTGTACCCCCTAAGGCTAAACCCACTATAGCCTACAGAACACAAACATATACAATGTTTGACACACCCCCATAGGCGAAGTGGGAGACAACCAGATGGTCACAAGACCAGTCAAAGCAAAGCAAAGCAAAACAAGCTCAGGGTGGATCTCAAGGATACCACACAAATTCCGAGCACAAGCAAGCGGTCACAAGACCAGTTCACATGCAGTTTGATAATAGAACAAGAGGTACAGTGATCACAACCTAGCAAGTGTAAGCATGCAGGTATATATATAGAGATCACAGTACAAGCAGAGTCAAGAAGTAAGCAAGTGAGGTACAGTAGGCACAAGGCCTAGAACAGTACAGAAACGCTGATGATCACAAGGCTGAAGCGCCTTGGTGAACACACCAGCAGTGTTGGCCCGAGTGGCCACGTAAGCAAGACGAAGCTGACCACGGTGCTGCAACTCTCGAGCAAGGAAGTAGTGCAGAGCGATGTGCTTCATTCTGTGCTCCAGTCTGTGCTCCTGACACAAGGCAATCATGGCCTTGTTGTCGACGTACAGAACTGGAGGAGAACGAGGCGGCTCTCCAAGGTCAGTCAGCAGGTAGGTGAGCCAGCGTAACTCCTGTGCAGCCATGGCCCCTGCGTAGATCTCAGCCTCACAACTAGAGCTGAGAACAGAAGACGAGCGGGTAGACCGCCAAGAAACAGAGCCGGAGCCAAGACTGAAGGTGTAACCCTGTGACGACCGCTGCGTAGTCAAGTCGTCAGCCCAAGAAGCGCCAGCGTGACTAGTGAGGACAACTCGAGCCCGTCCTCCAAGCAGAAGCCCCATGCCCGACGTACTGCACAAGTAGCGCAACACCCTCTTAGCGGCATCCATGTGCTCCTTCCGGTGACGGCCAGGAGCGACATAGCGTGCTAGGATGCTAAGAGGGTATGCAAGGTCAGGTCGAGTGCAGGTCATCAGGTACATGAGGCAGCCCACAAGCTCTGGGTACGGGCCACTCGGCTCTACGGACTCGTCCGAAGGTGGAGCTGAGAGCGAGTGACCGGTAGGCAGAGGAGTGGACTGAGGCGAGGAGTACGTGAAGCGGAAGCGCTGAAGGACCTGCTGCACCATGTGTGACTGAGTCAGGGTAATGGTGCGCTGTGCTCTGTCCCGGGTGATCCGCAAGCCAAGATAGCTTGTCAGCTCACCCAGGTCTGTGCACGTGTGTCTCTTCTGCAGCTCCGACTTCACGTGGGCGAGTGCCTCAGTGTCAGCAGTAACAAAGACCAAGTCGTCTACGTACACGAGAACGTAGAACGGCGGCAGAGTGGTGTCGGTGCGTAGAAACAGCGACGGGTCAGCAGTGGAAGGAGCAAACCCAAGAGCAGCAAGAGTAGTCCTCAGTGTGTCGTGCCACTCACGGGGTGCCTGGCGGAGACCGTAGACTGGCCGCCGGAGGCTCCACTGGGTACCAGGAGGAAACGACCCAGTGAAGCCAGGTGGGCGGCGCAGCCAGATCTCCTCGTGCAGGCTGCCCTGTAGAAAAGCAGTGCTGAAGTCAAGAGAGTGGAGCTCGTAGTCACGCTGAGCAGCGACGTGCAGCAGAACCCGAAGAGTGGTCATCTTCGGGGTAGGGGAGAAGGTCTGGAAGAAGTCAACTCCCTCACGGTGACTGAAGCCTCGTGCAACGTAACGCGCCTTGAAGACAGGCGGAGAACCCGGCGGCCGCTTCACCCTGAAAATCCACATGCCACTGACGATGTTCGCCCCAGGCGGGGGAACCTCGTCGACGTAGGTGCCTGTGGACTTCCAAGAAGCCATCTCTGCGTCCATAGCTGACTGCCACTGAGAGGAGTAGGGACCCTCTATCGCCTCTGCGTAAGAGCGCGGGGTCGGGATGTCTGGTGCATCCGGGTCTCCATCAGGGGCAATCAGCATGGACACGAGATGAGGTAAAGCAGCGGCAAAGCACTCAAACTCCTCCTGTCTGTCCTCAAGGACGTCCGTGCCAAGGGCACACTCACCCCCGACGGACGGAGGACTCAGACTCAGCAACTAGGCTAGCGGCGTAGTCTAGACGACAGGCGGCAGCAAAGACAACAAGCTCAGCGACTAGAGCAGACGCAACAGTGGACTCAAAGGTAGGGTCAGTGACAACAGTGGCGAGGAAACGCGTGACAGTAGGACTGGCAGCACGAAGAGAGTCAGACTCTGGGTCAGTAAGAGCAGGAAGAGAGGACGCTGGAGGAGACGGCAGAGGGACACGCTGTGGAGCAGTGGAAGGACGCAGAGTCATATAGTGAGTGCCAGGGACAGGAGGAGGACGCTCACACGGAACACGACGACCAGTGCGGGCAGCACGGACAGGCGACTCCGGACGAGACTCAGGCGACGCAGGACGAGACTCAGGCGACGCAGGACGAGAATCAGGCTCACGACGCTCCGTAAGACCTCTAGTCGGCCCAGCGTAAGGAGAAGGACTAGGCAGGCTGTAACTGTGACTGCGACTGGACAGGCGGTGGACTCAGTAGGGGAGGAGTAGGACCAGTAGGGGGCGGGAGGCCAAGAACCTGCTGAAGGAGCGGAACGTAGTACGGCCGCGGCCGCGCAGCTCCTCCTGAACCAGCAGAGACACCACCAGCGCCCTCAGCTCCAGGGACTCCAGCTACAACTCCCCGCAGCACCACCAGCAGCTCCAGCAGCTCCAGAACCTCCAGCTCCAACTCCCGCAGCAGCTCTAGTCCCAGCAGCTCCAGTACCTCCAGTACGAGCACCTCCAGAACCAGCGGCTCCAGCAGCTCCAGCACCAGCAGTACCCCCAGTAGCTCCAGCACCAGCAGCACCTCCAGAAGCACCAGCAGCACCTCCAGCAGCTCCAGCACCAGCAGCACCTCCAGCAGCTCCAGCACCAGCAGCACCTCTAGCAGCACCACCAGCAGCTCCAGCACCTCCAGTAGCACCAGCACCAGCAGCACCTCCAGTAGCTCCAGCACGAGCAGCACCTCCAGCAGCTCCAGCACCAGCAGTACCTCCAGCAGCACCACCAGCAGCTCCTGCACCAGCAGCACCAGCTCCAGGGTCCGCAGCCCCAGCAGCGGCTCCAACTCCAGGGTCCTCAGCACCAGCAGCAGCTCTAGCTCCAGGGTCCAAAGCACCAGCAGTGCCACTCCGGAAACTGCAGCGCCGAGCGTACCACTCTCGGAGCCGCTGAGGAGAGGGCGGCTCCCGCCTAGGCGGGGAACCACGAGCACCAGCTGCAGCAGCACCCCTAGCCCCAGAAGCGCCCCTCCGGAGGCTGCAGTACCGCGAGTACCACTCACGCAGCTGCTGTGAAGAGGGAGCGCCTCCAGGCGCCTCACGGTCAGTCGCACCACCCCCAGGCTCAGTACCCTCAGACGCAGCACTCTCAGGCTCAGCACCCCCAGACTCAGCACCCTCAGGCTCAGCACCCCCAGGCTCCGCACCCGCAGACTCAGCACCCCCAGGCTCCGCACGCTCAGGCTCAGCACCCCCAGGCTCCGCACCCGCAGGCTCAGCACCCCTAGCAGGACGAGAGTCGACAGCTACCTCGACAGGCTCAACTGGGTCTACCTGGGACACACCTGAGGGAGCGGCACCCTGAAGGGGGAGGGGGTCTACCACAGCAGCACCTGGTGCGAGGAAGAGAGGCGGGGGGGGGAGCGGGGCAGTGCGGTAGGGGAAGAGGCGGTAGTAGGGGAACGACTCGTCGAAAGTGACGTCCTGGGAGGGCAGGACACGGTGCGAGGTGGCGTGGTAAACTGCCAACCAGACGCGTCCGGGACAAAGCCAAGGAAGACACAAGGAACAGCGCGGGAGGAGAGCTTGTCCGCGGACGTATCGCGGACAAAAGCACGAGATCCCTAGACCCGGAACACCGACGCATCGCCAACCTCTCCCGTCCAACGCAGTGTCGGCGAAGTCTCCGGAACGGAGACACGGGGCCAGAGGTTGAGCTGATGCGCAGCGGATCGGACCGCAAACGGCCACAGAAAGTGGGGGGCAGCCGCATGGATCAAGGAGGTACGAGCGACCTCCATGACCAAGCCAATGCGGCGCTCAGCAACCCCATTCAGCTGTGGAGAGGCCGGAAGCGTGAACGACTGCTCAATGCCCTCCCCACAACAAAAGTCCCTCAAGAGGTCGGAGGAAAACTCCCCACCTCTGTCAGAGTGCAGACGCAGGACCGGAAAGTCCGAGTGGAACCTCTCGCTGAGCTGGAGACGGGCAGCGCAGATCCAAGGGATCAAAACATCAGGGACTTCACCCTTGGTGCGCAAGGGGAAGACCGTGGTGTAGCGCGAGTAGTCGTCAACAACTATCAAGAAGTACCTCTCGTGACCCTGTCCACGGACGCGGGCTGGGCCCCACACATCCATGTGGAGGGTCTGCAGGGGAGCAGTCGTCGGGGGAAACGAGGAGGAGTGAGGAGCGGCGCGCTGCCGCCCCTCGCCACAGGGAAGACAGGGAGGAGCAGGCGAGGGTGGGAGGGGAGGGAGAACCCTGGGAAGACCAGAGACAAGGTACCGGGAGTGCATGCCACGAAGGCGCTGCACTGACGGGTGACCAAGGCGGTGGTGCCAGAGGAAGGTCTCGTGCGACAGGGAGCGACACGAGCAGGGGGCCGACAGCTGACCTGACGCAGACGCAGACGCTGAGGGGACTCAGTGGTCAGTGTGTACAAGTCCGATCCCGGCTGCCGGGTGAAGGTAGCCACGTGGCGACCCGTCCGAGCACACGTGCAGTGGGTCACACGCTCATGGGCAGGGGTGAACTGGTGAACACCCCCGTCCTGGAGAGCAGAGCCCGCCACCAAGTTCGTAGAGAACGAGGGGAGGTAGAGACCTGACAGGGTGCCGGACGGGACCGCAGGACAAGGGAGGACAGTGGAGGAGGTCGCAAGGACAGGGCCACCGGAGGGGTCAGCCAGGGAGACACCAACAGGCCGAGCTAGCTGCTCAAGGACAGTGCGGTCACGAAAGAAGTAGCGGGAAGTACCCGAGTCCAGTGTGAAGGTGTGCAGTGCCTCAGTCGACGCAGTACCAGCAGGCGCAGACGCACGAGCACCTGGAGCAGCAGACTCACTAGCACCTAGAGCAGCAGCCTGACCAGGACCTAGAGCAGCAGACGCACTAGCACCTAGAGCGGCAGCCTCACTGGTCCCAATACCCAGGTCTGGCGGTACACGCAGGTAACAGTCACCCTCAACACTAATAGTCAATGCATACATGGCACCAAGGATAGCATCAAAGTCAAGAGCAAAGATATCAATGTTCTTTTTCATCAGATCAGCCCAGCGGGGCAGCTCATTGGCGTCAGGAAACTGCGCACGCCAGGCGTCGTCGAGACGAAAGAAGCAGCGGTGTGCCGTGTGGAACCTCCCACAGGTCTAGCCAGTGCGGTCACCTGTGCGGATAAGGTACGGGCAAGTACCTCCACCCCCAGACCCCCCACGCTGAGAGTACCACTCACGGAGCTGCTGGGAGGACGGGGTCTCGCTGGGACACTGCTGCTGCTGCCTCTGGCCACCACCGAACCCTCCACGCTGCACCGCTCCACCGCGCCCGCCACCAGCTCCACCGCCGCCACCACTACCACCACCACCCCCGCCACCCCCACTACCGCCGCCGCCACCACCCCCGCCTCCGCCACTGACCCCCCCACCACCAGCACCCCTCCCACCACCGCCACCACCCCCGCCTCCTCCACCCCCTCCACTACCGCCACCCCCGCCTCCACCTCCGCCACCCTTGCCCCCCTTGCCCTTGCCGCCCTTGCGCCTCCAACTAGGAGCAGACGCAGCCCCGACCTCCTCAGCACCGAGGTAGTCGACAGCAGCAGCAGATGCAATGGAGGGGAGAAGGGGGACGGGGGAGCACCCCTCAAAGAAGGGAGTGCGATGGTCGCCACGAGAGGCACCTACAGCTACAATACTCTTCTCAGCTGCAAGGAGTTCCTTCTCGAGCAGGTCGACAGTGAGGTCAGTGGGGGAGAGGGCGAGAAAGTGGTCCCTGACAGCGCGAAGAGAGTCAGGGAGGCGAGTGACTAGGTGGTAGAGTGTGAGGTACATCGGGGGAGGGTTCTTGGCGAGGAAATCGGGAGGAAGCGCGGCACGGTAGCGGAGATCACTAGTACGGAGGTGGGTGATGAGGTCAGCTACAGTGGCAAAGGCGGACAGATCGGGGAAAAGATAGGTCAGCGAGAGACGGCCTATCGCAGCACTAGCAGGGGAGGAGTAGCGCGCAACTACAGCATCGTACAGCTCCTTAGCGGTCTTATGCTGGCCAAAGTGCTCGCGTTCATCTAACGGCAGGTGGCTGCGAACGGCTAGGCGAGCGTGAGCATCACGGGTCTGCCACTGTGAGCGAGCTGTACTGCCAGCAGTAGCAGCAGGTGCGGGGGCTACGCCGGACGTGTGGTCAAACAGGGAAACATCATCCTTGGATGTGATCTGGAGGAACAGGTGCAGGTCATCGAGCCAAACGTCAAACTTGATCGGACGGCCCTCAGCGTCAAAAGTGAGAACGGTAGGACTGGCCATAGTGGCAGTAGCAGCAGTAAGAACAGTAGTAGCAGTAGCAGGAGTAGCGGTAGCAGTAGCAGGAGGTGCACAGTAGGGCAGCGCGGCTCGGTCAGGGCGGCGCGACTCGGGCAGGACGGCGCGGCTCGAGCAGGACGGCGCGGCGCGGCTCGGGCAGAGAGGGTTCGAGGTGGCGGCCTACGTGCTGGTGGCGGCCTACGCGCGGGTGGCGGCCTACGTGCGGGCGGCGGCCTACGTACGGGCGGCGGCCTGCCTGGGCGAGGTGGTGGCGCGCGCCGGTCGACGGGCAGCTCGCGAGCTGCTCTAGGGGCCGCACGAGGCCAGGGCGGGCTACGCGTGGGCGGCGTCGACGGCGTGGGCGGCTACGGGGTCGCGCGCACTAGAAACGGGCCGCGCGCGGGGCGGCTAGCGGGCTGCGCGGGCAAAAAACGGGCCGCGCACGGGTGGCTAGCGGGCTACGCGACCGAAAAACGGGGCGCTCGAGGGCGCACTAGGAGCGAGGCACACGAGGGCGCGAGTAAGAGAGGGCGCACGAGGGCGCTACTAGCGGAACGGTGGGCCCTTAGGAACGTTCGGTCCTAGGTTCCTAACCTAGGCTCGTAATACCATGTCAGAATGAGAGAAGTGTTTGAACTAACAAGGTTGGGAGTACAAGTAGGAAAACCTAGAAGTTGTACCCCCTAAGGCTAAACCCACTATAGCCTACAGAACATAAACATATACAATGTCTGACAGGGCAGGGCGGCGCGTCAGCCAGCAGGGCAGCGCGCGGGCAGGGCAGGGCGGCGCGGCGGCCAGCAGGGCGGCGCGCGGGCAGGGCAGGGCAGTGCGGCGGCTAGCAGGGCGGCGCGCGGGCAGGGCAAGGAGGCGCGGCGGCCAGCAGGGCGGCGCGCGGGCAGGGCTGGGCAGCGCGCGGCCAGCAGGGCGGCGCGACAGGCAGGGTAGGGCGGCGCGGCAGCCAGCAGGGCGGCGCGCGGCTAGCAGGGCGGCGCGACGGGCAGGGCAGGGCGGCGCGGCAGTTAGCAGGGGCGGCGCGCGGCCAGCAGGGCGGCGCGACAGGCAGGGCCGGGCAGCGCGACTGGTGGGGCAGCGCGATGGGCAGGGTAGGGCGTTACGAGTAGGGTAACGCGCTACGGACAGGGAACTATTCGGTGGGCCCTAAAAAAAACGGTCATGGAACAGGACCCGCTCTGAAACCATGTCAGAATACTGAACGAGGATGAATGCACTGACAAGAAACTGAGTACAAGTACTGCGGAGATAACTGTTGCAACGGGAGCTAGACTACGGGCTAGGCACGGATGCTCGTGTGATCTCTGCGTTCGTTCGTTCCTTAGTCGTTTCCAAGTGCTAACACTACTTGCTAGTTCACGGGGAAAATTGGCAAGAGTTTCACTAGGAAAAACATCACAACAAAAGTTCAGAATGATTTCAGCAACATTGGCAACAATGACTACATCAGACCTAGCAAGGCTGCTGGTCCACTGCCAGCGCAGCACGGTCGACCGCGTGCCAGCACGACTTGGTCGAACGCGCTCCAGCAGAGCAGAGTCGCGGCCTGCCAACGTTGCAAGTCCGCGGTGCGCCAACGCTGCAGTATGTCGGTTGCACAGCGTCGCATCCGCGGGACAATGGTGCACCAGCTTCGCAGGTGCGTGCAGCTGGTTGGCGCCCAACTCCCAGTCACATGCCCAGCGCAGATACTTCACCCGTGACGGCGCCCACCAGCCACGTCGACCTCGGGATACCACCCCCGAGGTCGTCCTCGCAGACAACATCCCCGGCGACTTTCGCGCACGTCGCCCGGGTATCCTGGTTGACCGGGTATTTCGCGGTCCTCCCGCGGTTTCTCGGCCACCGCGGTCCTCCACTGCGATTTCGTGGCTCCCACGAGCCACTGCGATTTCGTGGCTCCCACGGACCACTGCGATTTCGTGGCTCCCACGGGCCACTGCGATTTCGTGGCTCCCACGGGCCACTGTGACAATGACTACATCAGACCTAGCAAGGCTGCTGGTCCACTGCCAGCGCAGCACGGTCGACCGCGTGCCAGCACGACTTGGTCGAACGCGCTCCAGCAGAGCAGAGTCGCGGCCTGCCAACGTTGCAAGTCCGCGGTGCGCCAACGCTGCAGTATGTCGGTTGCACAGCGTCGCATCCGCGGGACAACGGTGCACCAGCTTCGCAGGTGCGTGCAGCTGGTTGGCGCCCAACTCCCAGTCACATGCCCAGCGCAGATACTTCACCCGTGACGGCGCCCACCAGCCACGTCGACCTCGGGATACCACCCCCGAGGTCGTCCTCGCAGACAACATCCCCGGCGACTTTCGCGCACGTCGCCCGGGTATCCTGGTTGACCGGGTATTTCGCGGTCCTCCCGCGGTTTCTCGGCCACCGCGGTCCTCCACTGCGATTTCGTGGCTCCCACGGGCCACTGCGATTTCGTGGCTCCCACGGACCACTGCGATTTCGTGGCTCCCACGGACCACTGCGATTTCGTGGCTCCCACGGGCCACTGCGATTTCGTGGCTCCCACGGGCCACTGCGATTTCGTGGCTCCCACGGGCCACTGCGATTTCGTGGCTCCCACGGGCCACTGCGATTTCGTGGCTCCCACGGTCAGCTCCGCCCAAGCGAGGACGGGGCCAAACACAACTCCCGTTGACAAGTACTAACCCTAATTGGGTTGTACCCCTTATGGGCTACCCCACTACAGCCTACACAATATAAACATTATAACAGTTTGACAGTTTCTGGTGCCTGGCTGTACAAAGTATACTTTATGTGGTCCCTGAATGCGAGTTTATCGGGACGAAGCTTCCTCGAAATTTTCCCCACCCCGCGTGGCTGTCCTTGTGCGCGTGGGATGGAAACCACGTAATGGCGAAAAAAAAAAAATAAATAAATCGCTGTACAGAACACAGCTGCCAATTGACAGCGAGGCAAAACTGAAGATGACCGGCAGCCATGCGCACTGCGTCACCCTCACGAAAAGTGATGGGTCGATCGCGATTGGTGGCATGCTACTGCACCCTTCTGTGCTTGCACGGCAGAATGAATCCGGCCTTGAAATCAAGGACGAATTCATTCTCCAAACCCTGGCCCATGCGCTAAACCTGTTTCGTGGCACCGCGGCTTTCATCGTGTCTTAGGGACGTTCTACCAAGAAGCCACGCACGACTCAGCTCCGAGGAAAGTTCCAGCAGAGCACCTTGACGTTTGGCGGTGTGCGCGTGCCACCACCCAAGGCCGGTGAGGAGCCCGCACCTAAGGAGGTCCCGGTTCGCAAGGACACGAATTCGCCCCTTCTATTAAAGGCTGAGTTAATCGAGCAAATTTGCATCGAGGCAAGTCTTAAGTACGAAAGTCAGTGGCTGCCTAGGTTCCCGTGGCTTGTTTTGCTTCGCGCCAAGGACGGTTTTCCCATGGTGAAATGCAGCGTGTTTCTGTTGTACGGCAAAGAAACGACGAAGTACTCAGGTCCTGGCGACGGCGGACGAGACCTGCACACGCAGACGATGCGCATCCACGAGCACACGTCTGTACACAAGGAGGCGATGCAGCGACAGGCTGAGATTGCGGAGGCGATTTCACGGGGTCAAACGAAGATCGATAACTTCATCGCAAGCGTTGATGCCCAGAGGTAAGTCACACTAATATGCATGTAAGGCTAGTGCGTTTTAACTGACGGTTTATTATATGTGTTGACAACCCGTGTTTCCTTCCTCGTGTTTGTCAGGTGGTGGCCCAACTTGTTGCTGCTGTGGCAGGGGCTGGCAGTTTTGCCTCTGTCAACTGTGGAGTGCGAGAGGGGGTTTTCGCGCCAGAACGTAATCAAGTCATGGATCCGTGGGTCGCTGTGCAAAGCCTGGCTGGCTGAACTGATGCAGATTTCCCTTCTGGAGTACGACATGGACTGGGATGGGGTGTTGGACACATGGAAGAGCCTCAAGAAGTGGTGTCCGGCGCAGAGCATGACTTTCCCCGCGGAAAATCGCAAGCACAAGAGGAAGGAACTGGAGGAGGGTTGGGAGAGACCCAACGAGCCGCAGCGCGAGGAGGAAGAGGAGTTTGGTACGTCGGACGGCGAGGGCGACGAGCGGCAGATGGATCAGGAGATCGAAGAACTCCCCCCCCCCCCCCCGCCGAGATCACTCAGATGAAGAGGACAATCCTTTCCTGTCCGATGGCGAGGAGGGGGAAGATACTTACCACATGGATAAGCCCCTGCACTAATTGTTTGTGTAGATTGTATGCCAGAGAGTAGTTATTGTAGTGCGTGCAAGGGGTATTGTGTACAATGTGCGTTTTTTTTTTTTTTTTTTTTTTTTTTTTTTCTAGGACCCTGATTCCAGTTTGCCAACCCTGAACGAACAAAGCGACCCTTCCCTGGAGACTGAACAATCATAGTGGCCAAAATCTGGCCGAAGTACGATCAGAAAAAAAAAAAAATTAGGGGGGATAAAAAAACGAAATTTCAGCCCTGGTTGGGTGGTCCAATGAGGACCATCGAGGTCTCCATGGGTTGTGAATCGCGATTACGGAAATCTTGCAGTTGAGGTGACAAAGCATGGTCCTACTTCTTTCACCCAATTCTTCAAACTGGTCAGGGTATGCTCCCCCCATGCTTTGTTAGTTGGTTACGCTGCCGCCATGGTTGAACCTGTCAAGGAAGTCACATACGAGGACGACCCTGATTGTCTTAAAACATGGATTGCTAAGAAAACCTTGAATCTGCCATTTTACTCGTTTTAAAAAGCACACAGTCTACAGCGTAACAGCAACAAAACACCTGCCTCAACTGTCATTCCACTATGGTTACTACAGCTTCGGATTCGATTGGCGAGCCTGTCGTCGATACGACCTGCCAACTACAAATGCGAGGCACCCTGCCCCGCTGCCGTCCCCAACACCACCGTCAACCCAACCAGCAATGTTTCCCACTGCTCGTCTAAGATAGTCCTTTCTCAACTGGAGCCGCCTTCCATCTGCAAGGAAGG